GGGGTAAGTGTGTATATGTTTGAGAGCCGTAGACGTATCTGTGGAGAAGGAGGGGTAAAGAGAGTGGAGATGCACTGGCAGAGGAAATTGGTAAAGGAAGGGAAAAGGGTCATAAAAATATCATGTGTAACTGATCCTCCCCCCCCTCTCTTGTGAAATTTTGACTCCCATCTTCTCTGCATGGAGATCAGAGGTCAGGGTCAGATGCAGTGCAACCAGAGCCAGTGCTGAGAAAAGAGAGAAGGCCACAAGCTCTTTCCTAAAATATTCCTCATCATACAGCCATGAGAGAAGTCATGCACATGTGCGCACACACACAGAGTACAGTAGACCACAGTGCTCTTTGATGTGTGTTTATCTCCTCAGTCTGCTTGACCTGTTTCTAATGAACTATGCTGGGAGGAAACAGAATAATCCAGCTACACAATTAGATCCTTCTGCGCAGACTCACAAAGAAATCATTATTTATGTACCTTAAAACTGACACAGTATGCTTTTCCTGCTTCCCATCCCACCTGTATTCACACCTTGTGCTTGAGAGGGGCAGCCAATCAGAAGAAACATGGGTTAAAGGAAGTGGTCTTAGAGGGAAACAAGCTGATACATGATAATGACTAAGAATTTTTTTTTATAAAGAAGGACAAAGCTACCGTATGCTACAGTCACATTAGGGAAAGCAGTGGTTGGGTACCAGTTGTGGTAACTTTGTGCAATGAACTTGCAGTCTTATTGTCTTCGAAGTAGTCTTTTCGAAGGCGGGGTCAGGTGCTCTCTTTAAAGAAACCTTGTTGGGTTAAGATGGTGAAAAGCTGGAGTCAGTCTGCAATAATTTATAATTAAATGGGGTCAAGTTGGCAATTACATGCAATCTGTTTGTGATATTACAGCAGTTATCTGTGAAAAACTGGGGAAACTGTTGCCATCTACATACACAGAAATTAACATTGACTACTTACATTCAGAGTCCAGAGAGAACCTAACAGATTTGTAAGAGAAATTCTTCCACAACCTCTGATGTAGTTGGTGCAGGGCAGCAATTTAACTCCAAAATGCTTTTATATAGGAATATAACCAGAGTACAACCAGTTAGCAACCCGACCAGCTGAGTCAAAGAGGTGCATCGTAGACAAGTTGCACTGAAAAGTGCAAACTGACTTAGACCAGTGTGTATGAGAGTCTTTTTTTTTTTGGCTGAATATCTTTGGGTTCTACTTTCTTAGGCTCTTTAATCCCCCAAAAATGTTCAGAATTCAGTTATTGGATTAGTAGATAATGCATCTCTTAAATACAGTAACAACTATAGATTCCATTCAGGGCACAGCTAAGGGCAAGAAAGTTTGACTCAGCTCAGAAATAAAATTAAACAACGAGAGAGAAAATGTAGGAAAGAGAGAAGGACATGAAACTGGGACAGCAAAGAAAACAGTGAATATTTACTGGGATAACAAGCAAATAAGTTTAAAGACAAGAGGAACAAAAAGCAGTTTGTGTGAGGAAAGGCTTGTTGGCTCTGTGACAGCGTCCCCTCTCCTTCTCCCTCTTACTTTAGCTGAATAGATGGGTTTGTTTGTTGTCAGTGCTAGAACTAAAGGAAAACAAAGTGACTTGATTCCCCTCTGTGTTTATTGGAAGACAGTTCGTCGTGCATAAGTGTCTATTGAGTTCTCGTCCCCAGACAGCTTTATCCTGAATACCAATTTGGTTCCTCTCTTTTTTTCTCCGTTTGTCATTCGCACTTTCTCCTCAGTTTGTCAGTTACATCAAATTTAAATGAACTGGATGTTCAAATTAGAACCTCTTAGCATTATTACATAACACATACATAATACCAATCTTCTGCTATATACCATGTACTTTCAATGCTAATACATTTTCTGCTATGGTACTAATAACTGCTATTACTTTTGCTACCACAATAGTGACAATTTTACACTGTCTGCATGCCTAATTAGAATTAGAAGGACTTTATTGTCTTTGAAAAAAAAAACGTACAACAAAATTAAGATCAGCATTATCACTGCAAAAGTGAGTATGTGACAAAACACATCACCTAAACACGCACACACTCAGTCACACTGGAGAATTAAATATGTGCGTGATACATGATACCTTTCTTTGTCTCTATTTCTGTCACATTTTAATCCAGATTATATATCTGACCCATTAATCTCTTAGCTGTTAGTTGCTTCTTCCTATCTATCTATCTATCTATCTATCTATCTATCTATCTATCTATCTATCTATCTATCTATCTATCTATCTATCTATCTATCTATCTATCTATCTA